TACAGGAGAACAGAATTTGAAGGTTTGGGTTCAATTTTCTCTTCTACCTCTTCATTGTGATCTACAGAAAATGAATGTGATTCTGTGCAGTAGATGAACAGGAGCTAGCAGCAATGCATTCAGCAGTAAATAAAGGACAGTAAAACTAGGCCATAAGAGTAAATAGAAAGGAATTTTATATTCTGATTTTAGACCAAAATATATTGCTATATATTTAGTAAGGACTGTTACTGCTTTCAGGGCATCACAGAACACACCAGATAACATTTCATTTACCTTTGCATGTTAAATAGAGTAGGCAATGTGAAAAGTGGGGCAGATATGATATCTGTATTTAGGACAACTTTGTAGCAGCATTTGCACAACTAAGAGAGCTAAATAATGATAAAGGGGCACTATTCTTTGGGTTGTTAGAAATAGAAGGGTTTTATTAGCAGTGTGAATTACAATTAAACAATATTTGCAATGCTTAAATAGTGCCAAGTAGTAAAAGACTTGCAGTGTTAGTCACTAAGAGAATAACATTCCTCATCAAAGGTTTTATGTAATTTTAAACAGCATCAGTTTTAAAGATTCATACTTTCCTGTGGTTTGATTGTTTCCTTTCCACAGCTACCAGGTAAAGTTTTCCCTAGCTGCTGGCTAGGGAAAACAAAAACAAACAAACAAAAAAACCCCAAAGAATTTCTAAGAATCCCCACCTCTGCTTTCAAACATACATTCTTCTCAGCTATATTTTTTTTTTCTGTTGTAGCTCTGTTTTTTGAACACTATCTAGATATGCAGGATAAGCATACAAATCTGTGGTGATAAAGATAGGACTACAGAGGAGAAAGTCTAGACTTTAATAATAATAATGATGATGATGATAAAAAAAATTCTTCTAAACAGTGTTAGAAATGCACAAGAAGGAAAGTAAGCTATGGAAATGGTGGGAAAGTATTACCATGGTCATTACTTTTAAATGCTATTTTGGTGTTTAAAAGTGCTGTCTGAAATTAGAACTCTACTTACCCCTGAGAATTGACAGTTTCGTTTCCTTTCTGGAGCAACTGTGATAACAGAGCAAAAAGTTTTAAGCGCATCTGGGAGTCTTTGTTAGGCTGAAGACATGTCTTAAGAATGTGAATAAAGTCATGGAGAGCTTCACCTACAACAGGACCTATAAAATAAATGTGTAAGATTTGTTTTGAAGCATGAGCAAGTAATTTGTTTTATCTCCTATCTAAATGTTTAATATGTGATTCCGTTAAAAGCTGTAAGATCCCTGGTAGTTTTTAACTTGTCATTCTCGCATGGCAACTATTGACGTATTGAGGTTACCCAGCACCAGGGAGTACACAAACACCCAAGCTCACCCAGGCTGGCAGCCTTGGCCACGGCAGCGTGTGCTCCCTCAAGGCTGGTTTACCCCACTTCTTATTTACTGACAGTTTAGTTATTTTTCTACTATGCTGCATTACATAATGTAGATATATTAATGATAGCTGCTACTTGCTGGCACCAGGGTTGTGCGAGAGGTCATTTGGGGTGGAATAATATGTTTTGGGAAACTAATGCTGTTTGCTATCTAACTCTTAGAGCTTGACATCATGCACAAAGTTCTGGCTCTACTGAACTTAAATGGAAAAAAAACAACTCCCCCTAAAAACCTACTGATTCTGTTATGACCATGATACAACCTCATACAACAGAACTAGCTACATTTTTCTCTTCCTTCAATTTTTTCCGTATGTGAAATTCTGAAGAGACATCAGAAAGGGTAAGCTTCAAAATCTGGATAATAAAGTTATTGCAGTAGTATTCTTTCTCTATATTTAAATAATGCATATTTGAAACTTGTACCTTGAAAGAATTCATTGTGTAATTTCCAAATTCAAATTAATTCTCTAGCCTGCTAGAAGTTTGACATCCTGTAATAAATGTTTTTACTTCTAATCAATAAACAAACAAAAGCAAACAGAAACAAAAGAAATCCCCCACACAAATCGTTAACCTAACGTTTGAAGTGGTAACCTAAAGAACTTGGAGCGCTCAGACCTAACTTGTTAATTCAGTGTTGTTCCAAAGCCAAGCAACAAGAGGTGTGATTATGGGAGATATAAAACTAAAATCAAAAGCACCAAGAAAAAAAAAAGGTGAATAAAAGGATAAAAAAGGAAAAAAAAAAAAAAGGAAAAGCAGTTTGCTATGAACTACTTTCCTCTAGAGCTTCAGCAGTTTTATTTTCTTGTGATGCACATTCCATTGAACTCCAGTCATTCAGAAAAATCCAGAAAGACACAATACTTAGGCATTTCTGATGACAAGAACATTCTGTCATACGTAAAATGGATGGATCGAGGTATTCAAGATTCCAAAAAAAGTTCAACAACATGGAATTACATCTGGAAATGGACTGCTCAAAACTTAAAAAATCTTCAGTGTCTAGACTTTAGCAATACAGGGTGCTCAACTGCAATTTGCTAAATTTCCATGCCAACAGATAGGTCTTTATTTTCATAACATTTATTCAAAATATATTGCTTCATGCAAGCTTTGAGGCATTGTTAACACACTGCTATTACATCAAACTGATAGCAGCAGATTCAATAGATGGAAAATAAACAAAATAATCTATATCACTAGTTTCAGGATAAACTTACATTTCTGAAAAACAATTGAGAAATTGGAAACGGGTAAACGTGATTAATTTAATTAAAAACAACATTATGTGTGAGAAAGAAAAAACAGCTCTAGGAGCTGCTGCATCAGACAGAAAACACAGACAATAGCATATTACCAGTGTGGGGTGCAAGCCAAAATGTTTGCCCAGACATCTTATGATTTATTTGCCATTAAGCAAAACAGAGACAACTGTCTAGAAGTTCCTCAGACATGGAAAAGGGAGTGCAAATATACAGAAATGTTGGCCACCCAGAACTTGCACAGAAGAACTTCTTTTTTTTTATACAGATGAAAGGAATTTGTACTTAGGCTTCTTGCTGTGCTAAGTAACATAGTAGGTGCTTCAAAATTGCTTTTTGAGGCTCTAATTAAGATTAAAGACTAAAAGCAAAAGATACAGTTAATTAAAACACATCCCTCCACATTTAACTGTGTGCAATATAGATATCTGTATCAGGAGAGATTTTATATTCCCTTCATAGACAACGGAAACCATAAACAGGAATTTCTTGAGTAATAATTTAATCATACCAAAAGAAATACCTAGGTCAAAAGAACTGCCCTTCACTGACTCCCATGTCTATAAATGCAACGTGCAGAGCTGCCTCAGAGATATCTTCACTACAGACATCTAAACTTAGGTGAAAGGCATCCCAAGATGTTTCACTAGTCTATAATGCAGCAGTACATAGGATTACTAGCACTAGTTTTATTAGGATTACTAGCACTAGGATTACTAGTTTGGGGATAGAAGTGAGGAAAGATAGAGACCTAGTATCTTTTCTTAGGCTGACTTTGAGGCAGAGTGAAGGATCTTTTTGCATCTTTTTGCCACCCTGTGAGCCACACCAATTTTGTTAACCTGAAATTCTGTTACCCAAATGTTTTTAATATCCTTCTTGCAGCTGACATTCCACAAGACTCTGCGGCTGCAGCAACATTTCATTTTTGTTTTTATTCACGTGCTTGTGAAATTTCAGAATATTAAACTATGTATTATCACAGAATGGTTAAGGTTGGGAGGATATCATCTAGTCCAACCCCCCTGCTCCAGCAGGGACACCCACAGCACGTGGCACAGGGTGGCATCCAGGTGGGTTTTGAAGATCTCCAGAAAAGGAGACTCCACAACCTCTCCGGGCAGCCTGTTCCAGTGCTCTGTCACCCTCACAGTGAAGTTCTTCCTCATACAGAGATGGAACCTTCTGTGTTTCAACTTGCACCCATTACACCTTGTCCTGTCACCAGCCACCACAGAGAAGAGCCTGGCCCCATCCTCTCTACATTCTCCCCTCAGATATTTATACATATTGACCAGATCTCTCTTCACTAGGCTAAACAGGCCCAACTCGCTTAGTCTTTCCTCATACAAGGAAATTTCCTCCAGTCCCTTAATCATCTTCATGGCCCTACGCTGGACCCTCTCTAGAAGCTCCACAATTTTCCATTATAAAACACAATGAATCTACACGCTATGGAGATTTTTTTTTTTTTTAGAATTAGATGAGATATCACACTACTAAATAAGCCATACCTGAATGAGTTGCAATCACAGTGAACTGTAATAATTCTGGAGAAAAACAGGTCCAACAGTCATGGGATACTGAAACCCATTCCATAAGTTGAGTTATATGCTGCTTGTAGAGACTAAGAAAGCCATCCAATTGCTGCACTTCAGCTAATGAAGACATTGTTTCCTCTACCTATTAAAACCAGAGACAAGATATTTCAACTTAAGTGGAACAATACTGAAAAAAAAAGCAACAAAACACAAAATCTCAAAAACACCACTTTCTAAAACATATGACTGAGCTGTTAAGAACAGAAGGGATAAAAGGATTTCTATATTTTCTATTTGGATGATCATGATCGATGTATAATGTCTTCCTATACCACGTCTGTGCACTTTAAACTGTAGCAGAATAAGTTTTGATTTCAAAAAATGTTATCATATGGAGCACAGCAATGCAATAGCAGAATGGAATAATCTCTAAGTTATAACAAACCAAGTTATAAACTGGTTGCTATTAGTTTTAAAGAGGCAATGATTTTCTCCTCAGCTTTAAACATTTATGTAAAGGTGATTTCTCATAACTACATCTAGCTGAATATGGCAGACTCCAAGAACTATTGCTGCTATGACACAAAGAGGACATGGCTCTTTTTCTTTCTAAAATTATGTGAAATGCTATCTGCAGTAGCTGGATGGCTTCATTATGAAATTTTCTACTTCTGTTACTTAGAATAAATACCAAAATTTAGCACTACCTTCTTATTTACATTTAGGCAATTCTATGAAAAAGGCAAATAAAACATGTACAATAAGAGAACCACTAAATGAAAGCTATATAGAGTCATGTTAGTCAAGAACACATGTACTTCCCTAAACTTATGGGAGATGGATATATAAGGAGGGCTAAACTGGCTTTTACAGATCCCAAAGACTCCTTACCAGACAGACAAAACTCCACTAAGAAACGGGATTAAAAGCACAACAAAAATCAGTATCTACAGTTTTACTGGTTTCTGCTCACAGTGATAAAGAACAAGGAGCAAAACACACTTAGACCCCCCACAGAGTAATAACATATGTCATCGGGATGGGCTCTCATTCTAGCAGTGAGAGATGAAGTGCGACAGGATGAGTAACGCCCTTTGACTTTAAGTGGTTCAGTAAAACTAAAAATTGTATTCATATTTTTAATATTTTTCAATTCAACTCAACCGGATAAGTTCACTAAAACATGTCTGGGACCTTTAGAATATTGCAGACTAATCATTTGCCAGACAAAAACATTATTATGAAAGTACCAGATGTGGAGAAAACAGACGATATTTCTAGGGAAAAAAATATCGTCAGAATTTTCTAAGGACAAAGGTTACTCTTAAAGCAACTTTGCCTCAAGCACAATGGATTTCTCTTTCCTAGAAAAGTTCTGTCAGCCAAAGCAAGTCAGGATAACTTATATCTAAGAGGCTCGATTACGTGTAAATAAAACATAATATTTTAGGAGAGATAATGTGTCCAACCGGAAACTGTTCCCCATCACCCAATAAATACTTTCCACCCCATTAAACAATGAAAAAGGTACATGCTCACATTGGCTCTCCTTGCAACAGCCTAAAGAGGCTGTACCTCTTTATCTTGTAAGCTTTTTCCAGTATTTCTTTTGAGCTTTGTTCCATTTAGCTCTATTTCAGAACAGTTTTCTAAGAACACACCTATTTGGAGGCAGCCTGTCAGCTATGGGGCCATAAATACTGATGGTACACAGGTCTATGGAACGCCTCCTTTTCTGTTGCTCCCAGGCATGGTAAAAAAACTACCACATTTAAGGAAAATTTTGGGGTGGGAGAGGAAGAAAATGAAGGGAGAGGAACTTGGTTAGGTCCTGATTATACTATATGAGAATGGCTTGTTAATTCATTTGTTTTTTATTTTTATTTTAAAAAAATGCTTATCAATACTAAAATCAGAACTTTACAAAAATATTAAAGCGGGTCACAGTTTACCTTTTCTTTCAGGTGCTGAGAACTAGGTATTGCCATTACTGTTACCAAAACTTTCATTAGCTGCAAACTAATTTCTTTGCAGTCTTCCTGGCACACTTCAATCAATGCTTGAGCACAAGAAAGCAACTGCTCCATGTAAAAGACCTGTTTTTAATAAAAGCACAAACGGTATTAGGTTTCATTAGAAAATATTATATATTCTCTTTAAGAGAAAACTATAGCAAATGACAACCGTAAAATCCGAAACTTATATAATCTACTACATTGGGAACATATTTAGCATTTGGGGTCAGTTTTTTGATGACCTTCATTTGGTTTTGATGATCTATATTCTACTGTTTATAGCACACAAGATAAGCTTCCTTTCATGCCTTTTATTTCTATTTATCCTCTCCTGCTAATAAAATAAATGACCTTCCTCTTAATCACAGAATTGCTGCATTGTGCACAAAATATCAAACCATTTTGGAATGCTTACCAATGGTACTTTCTCATTCTTAAGGGCAATTTATTAATTAATAATACATGTGTTATATTGTTTTCAAGTATTGTTCTATGCCTGCCTATTTTGAATGCAACAATAATGGTTAAATAAATAAACCAAGAAAACCTCATGGTCTGCTTTTACCTTGGCCAATTTATCACGATTGTTGCAATACAATGCATGTTATCTTGATCCCACTGAAATCAATGGAGGTCAATATTCTTGAAAGTTCATAATAACTTCTATGATTAAGTGCATCAGATATTCCATGATTCTGTCAGGTTACATTAAACGTGGAGTCATTAACAGAAGAGGCCATTGTTATAACCTCCACATTCAAAAAGTGAAGCCTAGGAATAGGTTAACTGTAAATGTTATTAATCTCATGGTCATGGTCAATCCTTAGCTAAACAGTGTCTGCGCACTGTTCAGGCCCTAAAATAGAGAAGGATTGCTTTCCAAAACCAAAGTCTAGAACAATTCTGTCAAAAGCTTCAGCTGCAGATGAATGTGTTTCCTGTGTATAACATTAAATGGAAGCAGTGAGCTTAAGATCTCTTGGTAATTTTGCAGATATACTCCAGGGGATTGTTATTGGAACACCCAGGTTTATGGTGCTTCCAGTTATATGAAGTCCTAATCATCACAGGCTTCACAGAGATTAGGGTAAATTTTCTGCATCACTGATACACATTCCATTAGGGAAGAACTTAATGAGGGAAGAATTTCAAATGTGTATCTTATATTGACTCAAAAAGACAATTACATTAGATTCAGCCTATCACACATGAATAACTCTCTTAAAGGGAAGTCAGAATCTAACACAAAGCTTTAAAGATTTTTCTGAAGACACAGTACTAGGCCTTTTTTGGTTATCTTAAGAGTAAAGGCCTAGTAGAGTTCTGCTAGAAAAAAAAGGCTGGGATTTTATATGTGGGGACAATTGTAGGGATTCTTTTTGCACATTTTTAACAATGCTGTATCTGGATGCTGATTACTCCCGGACTATCCTCAAAGCTATCAATCTCCATAGAAGAGATGCTCTTCTCTATATAACAAGCAAGGAATATTCATCAAAGATTGGAATAAAAATCATCTTCAGGCTCAGCCATTACTTATGGTACACTTGGAAAAAAATATCTGATTTATGAAGGGCCTTCCTTCTCTGAGTTTGTACTGAAACAATCATTGTCAATACATTGTTGGGAAATAAACAGTAGATTTGACCAGGAGATCAAGTCTGGGATTACTGTTGTGGATTTTCTATTTCTCCTTACCTCTTCAGATCTTTGACAGTTCTCCTCTTTTGACAATGCATTGCCAATATCAGTCAAATGAGGCTTTAAGATCTCTTTCGGGCTACCACGAATCACTGCAGTCAGGATCATAATGTGAGACGGCATAGGTGTTTTCTCAAAGGCTGATGTGATTAACTTCAAAGATACCTTAGGGCTGACAAATGTTCCAATCAATTCTGCTGCTTTCAGACACTGAAAAAAAAAGAAAAAGAAAAAAAAAGAACAATAACAACCACTTGAGGATTTTTCTGAAAATGAAGTCATTCAACATTATCATGGTCTCTTTCTTTTTATGATTCCAGCTGCTATTTTAAATGCTTCACCAATTGCCTTGTAGAACTTTTTCACTAACTCAGTTATGATTAAATGCACGAAAAAAAAATTGACATGTGTTCTGCAAGCACGTAATAAGGCATGCAAAAGCACCTGTCTCAGCATCAGACTCAAACTTCCATGAGAAAGTCATGTACAGGAACGAAGCGTACAACTTCCAGTATAATAAAGTCTCTAGCTTAGCATAACTGGATGTCCCAGATTTATTGTTTAGATTTTTTTTTGCTCCAAACACGTACCACCCCTCTATTAAAAGTAACAACCAATAAAACCATGAGAAGAATTTTTGTTACTGTACTATATTTTGACACTGCCATGTAGATGTGCCGTAGTATGGAAGCACTGCCATAGGGAAAGTGTCCACTGTCTCTTACTCTGAAAAGCCTTCACTTATTAGGCATAGTGGTATGGCGCATATGTTGGGAAGGCCCTTTGCTCCAGAGCTTACCACCCAGCTGATGCCCATTTATCTTTAAATCAGGTGCAAAATAAAGATATGGTCAATGACTGTGCAATTACCTGTTTAATATGAATGATTCCTAAACCCCTTAATTTAAGACTCGGCTTATTTTTTGAAGCCTTAGAAGTTTTTATATAAATGGAAGTAAACTTCCAGCTAGTTGTCTAACTATGGTCGTTCAACTGCATTTAATTAATCTTTAAATCATACTAGGTTTTAGTCTCAATGGAAACATGTAGCAGCGGGTTCTATAGCTTCTATCTGTACAATGTACAGTTATTTCTTTTTCCAAAGGTGAATACCCAAAAAGCTAACAGATATTCTATGGAAATGTGTTGTCCTCTTTCACAGTTGTCATACAGAAAGAAAGAGAATCTTAGTACTTCAAAACCAGAAGTACGACATAACTTACCATTAAACAGTTTTCAAATACGAAGTGATGCATTTTATGGATCAATTTATCTACTCAATTTAGCAGGAAAAAAAAGGAAAAAAAAAGCAAGAGCAGTTGGAGAAATCTTAAACACCTCATTTGGTATCCTCAGGCTAGAGGAAGATGTGCACATTTCTCAATTTGCTGGCTGCTCTGAAACAGATTCTACTGTGACAAAAGATAGAGGAGATAATCACAGTATCCTGGGAGACAGGGTCATAAAGGATATAAAAAGTATTCACAGACAAAATTTGATGAGTCTAAAATTTTGGCAGAGAGAAGAATAAAATTAAACACAAACAATCTCCTAAGTAGGAATTAAATCTCTTGGAAGCACTTGTGAAGAGATTAGCGGTGGGATTCTAAGAAAGAGGCAAATAGGGTCCTAAAAAGGAGAGGAAAAGTAAGAGAGAGCATGAAAGAAAGTGCACCTAATCGCTCATAATTTGCATACAGCTCAAACGACAGCAGGAACTTAAAGAAAAGTTTAATTTAGGAAAAGGATTTTTCTAACACTGACTGAACTACTTACTTCCAGCATGTAGCACACTATGACACTACTATTTGAAATACGGTAGGTATTTGAACAGTGTAAACTTACATTCCTAACCACATTTTTCTCTTCATCCATGCATGCACGGTACAAAGTTCTAAGCAGTAACTCCATGTGTTGTGTTATATGATCCTCTGCATGTAACAGTAATATGCACAAAAGCTGAGATGCTTTTACTCTCGTGCCTTCAACCCAGTCTGTTATATCATGACAGAGACCTGGAAGAATTTTGTAGAGGTTTCTTGAAACAAGTTCCCGACAACCTAGTCCTGGTCGAGTCACTAGGAAAAAAAATAAAAGCATGTATCAAAAGAAAGCCGACACATATTAAGTCTTAGAAAATTTCAAAGACAATGAAAAGAGCAATTGTCTGCTTCAGTACAGAACAAATATTCCAACTGCTGCTGAGGATTCTTCCTGTGCAAGGAATTCTCAGAAGTTATCTATTTATTACTGGATGGTGATTTATCTTTAAAGATGTTTACAGAAGAGGAAGAGAACTTAGATATGAGACATTACCCACTTCGAAAAATGCAGTTTAAAAATTTCCTTCTAATCCTTTTTGTCACATAAGATGCACAAGTTTTCTCCATATTATAATTCAAGATTAAAACATAAACCGAGGAAAAGAAAAAAGACAGAAGTCAAAAATACCGCAAAGGACATGAGCTGCAGCAAAACAGACGTTGTCAATTGTGCCCTCTAAAGGAAAAGGTTAAAAGTGTAACTAGCAATGTGAAATTAGAAAGGGAGGATGTTAGCCCAAGAAAAACCTGTAATATTGGTTGTGAAAGCAGAAAGTTAAGGAAATGGTACTGAAAGAGGAAAAAATACAGTATGAAACTAAAATTATTCAAAGTCCTGAATATTTATAGAAAAAGAACCAGCAGGTCCTGCTGATCCATCTCTTTAATCCTTGATTTGCATATTAAGTAATGCATTTCAAAATGAAGTTAAAGGTCATCACAGAATAACTGAGGTTGGAAGGGACTTCTAGAAATAACCTGGTCCAGGTGATTATATAATACCTGGTATAAAGTCGGAAAGGTGAAAAAATGAGAAGGATTTGTGGATTTTTTTTTAAATTAAATTACATATTAACTGTAGATTCTCCAAATACCTAGAGAACTAATGAATTTAACTTCCCCATCAAATGACAGCTGCTCTTGCATCTCATCTCATTTATAGACCAGACGTGCAGAAAAGCATCCTGACCAATACAAGCAGCTATCGTGCCACCACTGTTGCACTTTACACAGATTACATCAGGGCTTTCCAAAGAACTGCATTAACAGCAATTGACTTTTTCAATTACTTTTGCTACAGCTGAGACTTCTTCCTTTTTAAAACTGTTCATATTAAAAAACAAACAAACAAAACAAACCCTCATTACTATTGCCACCTGCCATGCTCACATACTGTTTTAGGGAAAAAAATACATTCATTTTGAGCTATTAAACAGACTGATTGTGCCATTACACAGTATATTCCTGATAGTGAGTTCTACTTGTAATTTCTCAGAAAGGAAACAACTAAGTTATCTCAGAATATTTTCCTGCACTGGTCCTTGTAGATACCAATGCTAAGGGGAAAATTGACTAGAGTAAGCAGTATGACAAATGCAAAAGGCTTAAAGATTAAAAAAATAAAAAGCCTGTGAAATACTTAGAATAGAATAGAATAAAAATCAAATATCATGGCATGAATTGCTACTTTGGATTATGAAAACTAACAGTGAATAGCAAAAAGTCAAATAAAGAAAGCAACTTAAGACAACAAACGCAGACTGTTGTCCTATTTCACCTGAGGCAGAATTTTGTTTGAACATTTCGGACCATTCTTTATCAGCAGCTTCCTCCATTTCAGGTGTTCAAATGGAGACATTTACCCCTGTAGCTACTCCTGTCAAAGACCTCCCTGCTATAAACTGTCTGCACCTGTATCCTAAGGCAATGATTGTTGTTACTTAATGGAAAGCTGTGCAGTGGGTTGGATGGCACCTAACATGAGCTCTGTCTGCCTGTGCTTCTCCTCCAATCTGCCATATCTGCATTCCTGAGACAAAAGCACAGTGAGGCTCCTATGTCAGGTTGAGAGTAGGAAAAACATAGTTAAATAAAATGTACTATAGCTCAGAATTGTAAAGAGAGATCCCTGGGTCTTGAATAACTTAGCTATAGGTTAGAAGAAATAGTGACAAGGTGCTAAAATAATTCATCATCCTATTACACAAAACCCTAAAGTGGATGGAAGAAAAAAAATGTGGGGGAGGGAGTTAATAAAAATTAATCTGTAGACTAACGTAGTAAGAAACCACAAATTATTACTTAGAATTAAGGCACAGTAGGCTCTTTGACATGAAAGTTTTATATCTGTAAGGTTAAGTAGCCAGTCATCCTCTCATTTTTCCTCTTTTGTCACATAAAGCTTGAGTATTAATAAGAGATGCAATCTGGAAGCAAAGATAAACAGCTGGAAATTATATCTTTCAGCTCTCATTAATTCAGGACTCAAGTCCAAAATTACCAGGTCATGTCTTTAGAAGGTTCTGTAGTCACATATTTATAATCACAGGAAGCCGTAGCTGCACAATTTCAGCAAGCAAGATGAATGACAAGTCAATTAAATGCAGGGCTGGACTTTTGCCCAAATTTGTGAAGCATATTTATTAGGCTAAGATTATTTCATACTACTTGAAAGCAAAGATCAGTTGGTGAGGTAGAGCTTTCTTCCATCTACCAAAATTCTTTTGAGCAATTTCAGGGAGAATGCACTGCAAACAATAGACATGCAAATAAAAACAGAAATCTTAAATGTTATCTATAATTTGGACCAGTTCTACTTCCATAAGCCATGACAAGGCTTAGCAGTGCTTTTTATGTATCAATTTAATTCATTATATAATTGATAGGTGTCCCTTTCTAAAAATGGTACACACACTATAGAGAAAAAAACAAACATACAGAAAATCAGTGGTATTAGCAATATAAACAGTAACAACTATTTCAAGGACTAGCACTTCAAGCCTTTCACTGATCCTTCCTCTTCTTCTCCTTTGTTCAGCTGACTACAGTCAAACTGCAGTGTTTTTCACAGCTGTTGGGGACCTTTCAGGATCAGATCACCACCCATAATGTCATTAAAAAAAGGGCACATTAATGGCCTACCCTGTATCATGGCCATTACAAAACAAGTGACTGGAACTTAAAATATTCAACTTCAGCACTTTATACACGTCTGTCTGTCTCCCTTTGTATATATAAAATTATTTAACTAGTGACAAATGTTTCTGCCATAACTGGTGAAAATAAAAGCATTCCTTACAAGTCACAAGCTCCTAAGATAATATTGTAATTTATATCATAGAGTAAGGGGGAGAAAAAGTTATAGAAAGAATAACAGCTCAACTTGCCCATCCTCAAAGTGAAACTGTCTGTCAAACCAATCACCATTATGAAGTGCTTCCCCTTTCATTGAAGCATTACCGAGCAAAACAATTCTAAGACAGTCTAATTTCAAAGGAGAAAGGACCCCGGAACCCACTGTCAAGGAAAGTATTTTGCCTTTGGGGATTCTGCAAAGTGATTGTCAGGTAGGCACAAGTCAAGCATGAACCTGCTCTTTCACTCCCAAAGAGTTTTTGTTCTGTTAAACATAAGCATAGAAATCAATAAGTGATCCATTTTAATCCTTTCTCTCACCAAAAGCTGTATACGTGTTTTTAAACATTAACTTTGCCAACCTGGGAAAGGAAACAAGCTTCATACTACTACAAATATATCATTTAGAAAGCTACTTACAAATCATAAACTGCGAAACAGTAATCTGTCAATGCTGTATATCTTGTTTTCTGTGGATGATGAAGGAAACTATTCTTTCTGTTCCCTTGTCATTCATGTATGTTGGTACACTTTATAGCTCATGTCTTACAGTGGAGTTTGAAAACATCTTAATGCAGTTTTTCCTTCCATGCAAATTCTCTAGATCATTAATGTTGGGTCTTGTTTTCATTATTCAGTATTTCATTCTGCCCTCCCTTTCCATCATCTCTATGCCCCTTTTCCATTGGGCTTCTGTAGAAGTTATTGTTACTTTCTGCCTTACTGTTTTCCTCTTTTACAATGTGGGCATTTTCGTTCACTCTCATTCAAAATGCATTTAGAAATTAATGGGAAAAATGAATTTCATTGCTGAACAATAATTTTCGATATATTAGTGAGTGGAAATGGTGTTCTTTATTGGTTCTTTATTTTTGCAGATAAGAAAGACTGCAAGCAGCTTCTCTCAATACATGTACTATTTTGTTTTTTGAATATAAATTGTCAGAGTTATTGTTGGAATAGCATCTACAATACCTTGTTCATAACAGAAAAAAAAGCCAGATGAACAGATATGATTGCCAAAATCAAAAAGAATATGAAAAAAAAAGAAGAAAAAAAATCACTCAACGAATTATGTGTTTTTGGTATAATAAATAGGATTAATTAATCCTATACAGAAATATAAAAGATAAGGAGAATGGCTAGGTCTTTCAGTATAGCTCCACCCATAAAACAATTTAATTCGCAAATAACTTAATAACAACTTGATTTTAAGCTTCTTTCTTCCAGAGACAGAAACAGGATGGAAAACTAAATAATTCTCACTATACAGTTTAGGGTTGAGTATTTTTCCCTTAAGATCCCTTTCATAATTGAACAACACTATGTTTCCCTTTACATTAATGAATACCATACCTTGTGATAAATATGCCACATTCTGCTCTGCTGTCATTGCTGCAGCTTTAGGGTTCAGAAAGTTTTCAGGAAGTAAAAACTTCTGTATCAGACTCACCTCCTTGGGGATAATGAGATGGTGCAAGACTGAAATCAATCTTATCCTTCAGATCATCATCATTCTCTTTTTCCCACTGCAAGCCTATCTTTTCCCAGTAACTCCAAGCCAGTTCCCTGGAATAAAGTAACAGTTTTAATACTACCTTGCTCTAAAAAAGAAAACATCCTAAAAGGAGACTTCTGGGAAAATATGAATTTCTATATTCAATTGGAAGGATGGAAAGCATTCATGCCATTTAATTCAGACACATTAAATGTTTATGCTTCTTATGTACTCAGTGGACAAAGGTGTCCTCTTAAGGATAATTCAGAGCCTTTATGTTTGAAATCTCTCTTCACTGAGTATCAAAGATGCTGGAAACAAAATCAATAGCATGACTACACCCACATAAAAATATTTGCTTTAGTTCCACTTATATAAAAAAAACATAATAGCTAGAAATGACTTATAATGACTAAGTTTCTTTATGAAAAACTGATATTAAAATCAACTTATTTTTTAAAAAATCATAACTTTGTTTGAAGGCTACATTCAGGTATTGGACATAGTACTATTATGAATAGATTAAAGAAAGCAAACAAACTAAAAAACAAACAAACACACATAAAGAAACAGGATTTTTTTTCCAAACCACGTAACTCTGAGCACAGAAATACATCCATGCAAGACAGCTACATAAATGGGGATGGAGGGCATGGGAACTGAAGGAAAGTATAAAAATCTTCCTCCTTACATGTTTTCAGGAATTTCATCAGTAAAGCCACTGAGTAATAAAGGGACCAACTTGTGAAAAAAAGAGTATCTATCTCGTAGATGCAACAACCATTCTCCAATCACAGTTATCACAGCTTGACGAACCTATGAAGAGGGATCATTTAAAAATATTTTACAAAAAATACCAGATTATTTGTTGTACAAGAATACATCTTCAAGAGCAAGAAAAGATAGAGACCTAACCCAGAACACCCTAAATTCTGACAGTTAAGATCTCTATGAGGCATATATGAATAGTTTCTCAGTACATGTATTTCAAGCATGTTTCCAGAAGACAATAGTCTGATTCACTATAAAAGAAGTTAATGTTAAATAATGTGAATATTTCTACTCTGGAAATAGTTTAGTTAAATAGGACATTTTGAAAAGTTTCTATTGCAATTATGAATGGACCAATACCATTAATGTTTATCAAGAATCCAGAAAAGCTATAGAGCCAAGTTTCAGGCAAATCAGGCAGAAGAATTTGGAGAGAATTGTGAGGACCCAAAAGATTGAAAGCCAAGGTAGCCATACAGTTCAACTCTCTGCAGGTTTAGACAGCAGCTGAACAGGCCATCCACCTTGCTTTGGGATAGTTTAGAACTGACTTTAAGTCTATATGGATCATATTTCTCTATGTCCACTGAATGAAAAAAAAAGCTGAAAATACTAAATAAGCCAAGAAAAACTAAGAAACGTGCACCTTAGGAATCTCATCAAAGAATCTCTGGGCCAGATGAGACAGAACATCATCCACAGACTTTCCATTTCCAGACTGTATCACCGCTCCCGTAGCCTGGATTACATCAACACGAACTCTGTAGTGCTGGTGTGAGATCGTCTGCATCAGGGGTTTTATCAGGGATTCTGACTGCATGTGGAAGTGCTCTGTATGGACAGAGAGAGAAAAAAATCAAGTATGCCTTTCTCTGTATGTGGGTAACAGCCTTTGAATAACATAATTTCAGAAACACTATGCAGAACAAACAGGTTAATATTACTGCTTTTACAGAGCATGCAGATTTAACTTTATACTCTGCAAAAGCAGAAAACCAACTCACAGACACTTCCCCACAGTCACCCACGTGTCTTCCATTATGGGCACCATCCCTCAGGACCCTTCCCTTGCATGGTTCTTTCACGGATCCTCCAAGTCCCACAAAGTGAACCTGAGAGGATGCAGGGGCCCTCTGTATCTCTTCTCCTTTGGCTGCACCTTCCAAGCTCCTACCAGCTCTTTTCCCTGTCCATCCGGCTGCCCCAGCTCCCGTGGCCGCTCCGTACCTGGCATGGCCTGTGCGCAGGCCACGACGCACCGGCAGCTCTCGCGCCTGACCTCGGCGTAGTCGTCGAGGAGGGTGGCCTGCAGGATGCGGACGACGTCGTTGAGGTAGGGGGCCATGGAGGCGCCGCAGCGGCGCAGCAGCAGCCCCAGCAGCTGCAGCAGGGCGGGGGGGAGGGCC